AGGTCTCCCACCTGGGTGCAGGGGCCCAAGTACTTGGGGAATCTTCCACTGCATTTCCAAGGCCATTAGCAGGGAGCTGGATTGGAAGTGGAACAGCCAGGACTTGAAGCGGTGCCCATATGAGATGCTGGTGCTGCAAGCTGGTCTCAAGGCCAAGCCTTTTATTCCTGTACTCTTTTCCATTCAGTAAAGGGAATTTTTCCAGTTACACATTTGTGTTCAGGTTTTTCTGTGAATGTAAGTTTTTAACTTAAATACCAAGGAACACAACTGCTAGGTTGTATTGTGGTGCACAACAGAGCCCCGAGCTGAGCTTACTCAAGAATTCCATGTGGAGGTATAAAGGTGTGCAGTGAAGCAGGATTTGTTTAAAGTGAAGGAAAAGTGCAGGTAGGAGAGAAAGAGAGAGAGAGAGAGAATGAACAAAAAACCAAAACACAACAAAGATCCCCTCAACGACATTAGGGCCATCCTTTTATACCATCAGAGGCATAGGGAGTGGTGCCTAGGGTGACAGGTAATTGAATATTCACAAGGGGCTTGAGTGTCATTCATTTCTGTGCCCTTTCTTGGAAATATTAGAAGAGTCATGAGAACAGGTGCATGATAGGAATGGAAGTGCTAGACATGGTAGTTTTATTATGACCTCAGTAGGTCATGTGGGGTCATACCCTGTGGGCATATTGAATATTTCTAGTTGGCACTGGTTCTAAGTTTGCAGCTTTGTGGAACTTGTGGTTTCCGCTACTTGGGAAGAGCAGTCAGGAGGGTGGGCCCTGGTGGTGCACGGAAGGCAGATTTGTGTGGTATGCATAAAGTGTGGTGCAGACTACTCTGTCATGCATTATGTTTATTTTTGTAAGAAACTACCCTATCTTCCAAAATGACCATACCACTTTACCCCACCACACGTGCACAAGGGTTCCTATTGTTCTACATGCATTTCAGCACTTGGTGTTCCTTGTGGTTTTATTTTAGCCATGGGAGTAGGTGTTTGGTTTATCTTTTTTTTTTTTAATTCTTTCCCCCAGAAACCTTTTATTTAAGAAATGCAAACTTCATGCATTTCATAAATACAACTTTAGGAACATAGAGACTTTTCCCACTGTATCCACACTCCCACCCTTCTTCCTCCTCCCTCTCCTATTCCCATTCTTATTTGTTACTAAGATTTTTTTTTTTTTTAAGATTCATTTATTTATTTGAAAGGCAGAATTAGAGAGAGCAAATCTTCCATCCATTGGTTTACTCCCAGAATGACTATAATGAAGATCAGGCTGGGCCAGGCCAAAACCAGGAGCCTGGAAATTCATCTGGGTCTCCCACATGGGTGCAGGGGCTCAAGGACTTGTACCATCTTCTGCTGCTTTCCCAGGTTCATTAGTATGGACCTGGGTCAGAAGTGGAGTAGCTGGGACTCGAGCTGGTACCCATATGGGATGCCAGTGTCACAGGCAGCAGCTTAACCGGCTATGCCACAACCCCAGCCAGGGTATCTCATTTTAATTTAAGGTCCTCTCATGATATATGATGCTGACTGTTCTAATATGCTTGTTTACGAACTGTTTTTAGCTTGTTGATGAGGCATATGCTCGTATCTTTTGCCACCCTCTTTTATTTTCTGTTTTCCCTGCTGTACCAGTTCTTTTTTGTGTGTAGTAAGAATCACTTAACCATGTTTAAGTGTGTAGTGCAGCAGTGCCAGCTGTATGCACTTTGCTGTGCAGCTGATTGCTGGAGCGTTTTCCTCTTGCAAAACTGAAACTGTCTACCCATCGAGTCACAGGGCTGCATTTCCCCCTCTTTCCCAAACCCTGCTAACCACAGTACCTGCTGCTGTTTCTATGAATGTGTCTACTTTGGGTGCCTAATATAAGTAGAATCATGCAGTATTTGTGGTGTTCTGGCTGGCTTTTTTCACTCAGCATAGTATCTTCAAGGTCTGTTATGGTGTATATCTGGTATATTATGATGGAGTTTCCTCTTTGTATGGGTATGCCACATTGTCTTTATGCATTCTTCTATCGAAGCACCTGCAGGTTGCTGTTGTAGATGATGCTGCCGTGAACGTGGAAGTCAGCTACCACTTTGGGACCCTGTTTGCAGTTCTTTTAGACTGCGCCAGATGTGAGAGCGGCAGGCATCTGAACAGTGTTGAAGATGCAACGTGGGATACTGAATCCCCATATCAAAGTGTCTTGATTCAAGTCCCACCTGTGCTTCTGAGTCAGCTTCCTGCTCACCTCACCCACCCTGGGATGCAGCAGATGAGGACTCACATACCTGGGTTCCTGTTGCCCGCATCAGAGGCCTGGATTGAGTTCAGGGCTTCTGCTTTTGGCCTGGCCCGGCCTAGCTGTTGGGCATTTAGGGAATGAACTTGCAGTTTGAATTATCAGTCCTTCATCAAATATGTGTTTTACAAACATTTTCTCCCTGATGTCTTGTCATTCTCTCTCTCTCTCTCTCTCTCTCTCTCTCTCTCTCTCTCTCTCTCTTTTTTACAGGCAGAGTTAGACAGAGAGAGAGAGAGAGAGAGAGAAAGGTCTTCCTTTTCCATTGGTTCACCCCCCAGTAGCTGCTGCGGCCGGCGCACCGTGCTGATCCAAAGCCAGGAACCAGGTGCTTCTCCTGGTCTCCCATGCGGGTGCAGGGGCCCAAGGACCTGGGCCATCCTCCACTGCCTTCCCGGGCCACAGCAGAGAGCTGGCCTGGAAGAGGGGCAACCGGGACAGAATCTGACGCCCCGACCGGGACTAGAACCTGGTGTGCCAGCGCCGCAGGCGGAGGATTAGCCTATTGAGCTGTGGCACCGGCCTTGTCATTCTCTTAACAGTGTGTTGCAGAGAGTAATTCTTTTAATTTTTGTAAAATTCCAGTTGTCAATTCTGTGATTTTTGGTTTAAGATCTTTTTAAGCAGCTACCTTTTTCTACAATGTTATCTTCTAGAAATTTCAGTTTTGTGTTTAGTATTTAGCTCTAAGATCCATTTTGAGTTACTTTTTGTGAAAGGTATGAGATCTGTCTAGATTTATTTTTTGCATGTATTGCCTGACTGTTTCCAGCACCATTTATTGAAGAGACTTCTTTCTCCATTGAATTGTCTTTGCTGCTTTGTCAAAGATCAGTTGACTCTTTATATGGGTCTGTTTCTGGGTGCTAGTCTGTTCCACTGATCAATTTGTCTGTTCTTTTGCCAATTCCACACTGTCTCAAATACAGTAGCTTTATAGTCAGACTTAAAGTGCCAGTACTTCACTTTTTGTTCTCAATATTGTGCTGGCTGTCTGGATCTTTTGCTTTCCCTATGAGCTTTAGAATCAGTTTGTCAGTATCTACAAAATAACTTGTTTGGGGTATAACTGAGATTGCAGTGAATTTGTAGATCAAAGTGGAGAGAATTTATATCTTAATATGGAGTCTCGGGGCCGGCGCCATGGCTCACTTGGTTAATCCTCTGCCGGTGGCGCCGACATCCCTTATGGGCGCCTGTTCTAGTCCTGGCTGCTCCTCTTCCAGTCCAGCTCTCTGCTGTGGCCCCGGAAGGCAGTGGGAGGATCGCCCAAGTGCTTGGGCCCCTGCACCCGCATGGGAGACCAGGAAGAAGCACCTGGCTGCTTCAGATCGGCGTAGTTCTGGCCGTAGCAGCCATTTGGGGGGTGAACCAACGGAAGGAAGATCTTTCTCTCTGTCTCTCTCTCTCTCACTGTCTAACTCTGTCAAATTAAAAAAAAAAAAAAAATGGAGTCTTTCCACCCATGAACATGAAATATCTTTCCATTTATTTAGAGCTTTGGAATCTTTTGTCAAAGTTTTATGTTTTGTTTTATTTTTTTAAAAAAAGAGATTTATTTATTTGAAAGGCATACTTGGAGAAAGACTTGGATTTGGAGAGAGAGAAAGGGAGAGTTAGAGAGAGATCCGCTGGTTCTCTCTCCAAGTGGCTGCAATGGCTAGTGCTAGGGCAGTCCAAAGCCAGTAGCTTCATCCAGGTCTCCCTTGTGGGAACAGGAGCACAAGGATTTGGGCAAACTTCTGCTGCTTTCTCAGGCGCATTAGCGGGGAGCTGGATTTGGAAGTGCGGTGGAAAGGCCAGGATGGAAACCAGCTCCCACATGGATGTCAGTATGGCAAGTGGTGGCCTAACCTGTTAACCCTCAGCATTGGCCCCAGTTTTATGATTGTCCTCATGTAGCACCCGTACATAATTTGTTAGATTCTCACCTGAATATTTCATTTTTGTGTTAACTGATATAAATGATACTCTGTTTTTAATTTCAAATTCTAATTACTCAAAGAAACTGACATTTATATATTAATTTTATATCTGGCAACCTTGCTATAATTGCTTGCTTGTTCCAGTAGTTATTTCTTTGTTTTGTTGTTTTGGTTTGTTATTTGGAATTTTCTGTGTAGACAGTCATGTCGTGAACAAAGATAGTTTTACTTATTCTGAGGGTTTTTTGCATAATATTTCTTCATAGATCAAGTAATTATAGAGTCAGATGCAAATTCGGCATGAATTTTTATGCTAATACCGGGTACATTTGGTTTTGTTGTTGGTCCTTACTAGCTACAGTCTGACCATTACTCCAGAACAGGTATTCAGTGGCTACTGCAATCACAAGTTCTTCGGACTGAAGTTTGCCGTGCAGTGACCCACCCAGTTTTTCTCTCAGGAGCATATTTTTCCTCTGAAGTTATTATTTATAATTTGCTTATCACTTTCTAATCCAAATTATATCTTTTGGGATATGCATATCCTCTTGGGAGCATAAAAAACCCATGGGAAAGTCCATTCCAGTGTTCAGGGTGACTGTGACACAGCGGTTACTTTAGGAAAACACAGAATGGTAAAGACTGTAATCTTGCTTTGAAATATACTTACCCTGAAACCACAGATGACTTTTGTAAGTTGCTGCTGAACAGCGTGAATTTTCCTCTAGCATTTTCCTCTGCTGATGCCGTAACTACCTTTCTGCTCTGTCTGTGGCCCTAGGTTGGTTCACTCTGGCTCTGGATGTCGGTCCCCCTCACTTGGATCTGACCTTACATTTGCTACCAGGACAGGCTCTCGACAGGGCATTGAGATGCATCTCTTCAGAGTGGAGACACACCGGGATCTGTCCACCTGGACCAGGACACTTGTCCAGGGTTGTCACGCTGCGGCTGAGCTGATCAAGGAGGTCTCTCTAGGTAGAGATGCTGACATTTCATTTCTAACAGTAATTAAATGGAACTGTTATGCTTTAATTTAATTTAAAGTGAAACCATTGTCATGTGTGCCAGACTTAAAAATGTGCTAAAATATTGCTGCTAAAAGTGGTGATGATGGAAAGAAATCTGGTGTCTGTGTTTCACTGGCAGTTTTCTGAGCTTGGTAGGTGGCTGTCAGCACATTTATACCCACTCTGCACTGCACAGCAGTTTTCCGATTCATCATTTTAATCTGCATGTGACAGTGTAAGGGCTCATTTACCAAGTACCAGATGCATTGACTCTGGAGTTCAAATTTGGAATCTAAGTGTATTGGATAGACATCCTTAAAATGTGTACATCTGACAAGCTTATGGCTACAGGAAACTAAAGGAATTAGGAGTTTCTCTTCAAAAGTTTGAAAATGTATGCCTAATGCTTACTCAATGAACATCTAAAAGGAAAAATCCTGGCAGCCTCTTACCATTGTGGCAGCGCCCTCTTGTGGCTGGTCTATGGATTTGGGCGTCTCATCCCCTATTCAATGTAGTATTTTTGTATTTGTGTACGCATATATATTTTTTTCATATTGCTTTTCATTTTAACAAGAACAGAGATCATTCACAATGAAGTAGCAGTTACAGGTTTGTTTTTTTTTTTTAAGATTTATGTATTTATTTGAAAGGCAGTCACAAAGAGAGGGGGAGATCTTTCATCAGCTGGTTCTTAAATTGCCACAAAAAGCCAGGAGGCTGAAACAATCCAAGTCTCCTGTGTGGGTGGCAGGGGCCCAGGCACTTGGACCATCTTCCACTGCTTTCCCAGGAGCATTAGCAGGGAGCTGGATTAGACATGGATCAGCCAGGACTTGAACTGGTGCCCATATGGGATGCTGGCATTGCAACCAACAGATAAACCATTGTACCCCAAAGGCAGCCTCATAATTACAGTTTCTAACGTGGTTTTATTTACCTTGGCCATCTTGGTTGTAAATCAGTTTACTTACTTTTGCTCTCTTGTTTTCTATGTATTTTATTTTATAAATCTAGTTTTATAAAATTTATATTAAACAGAGGAAATGTTCCAAGAACAGCAAATTTGTGAGTTTTCTTTCTTTCTTTGTGCTACTTCTGTAGAACCACATGAGCAACATTTCCAGGAGATTCTTCTAAACCATGCAGAGACAGGCTTATTTCATTCTTTTTTTTTTTTTTTTTTAAGATTTATTTATTTTTACTTGAAAGTCAGAGTTACACAGAGAGACAGAGAGAGAGAGAGAGGTCTTCTATCTGATGGTTCATTCCCCAGTTGGCCTCAACCACCGGAGCCGCACCAATCCGAAGCCAGGAGCCAGGAGCTTCCTCTGGGTCTCCCACGCAGGTGCAAGGACCAAGGACTTGGGCCATCTTCCACTGCTTTACCAGGCCACAGCAGAGAGCTGGACAGGAAGTGGAGCAGCCGGGTCTCGAACCGGCACCCATATGGGATGCTGGTGCTTCAGGCCAAGGTGTTAACCCGCTGCGCCACAGCGCTGGCCCCTTCTTCTTCTTCTTCTTCTTCTTTTTTTTTTTTTTTTTTAAGATTTATTTATTTGGCCGGCACCTCGGCTCACTAGGCTAATCCTCCACCTTGCAGTGCCAGCACACCGGGTTCTAGTCCTGGTCGGGGTGCCGGATTCTTTCCCGGTTGCCCCTCTTCCAGGCCAGCTCTCTGCTGTGGCCCGGGAGTGCAGTGGAGGATGGCCCAAGTGCTTGGGCCCTGCACCCGCATGGGAGACCAGGAGAAGCACCTGGCTTCTGGCTTCGGATCGGCGCGGTGCGCCAGCCGCAGCAGCCATTGGGGGGTGAACCAATGGAAAAGGAAGACCTTTCTCTCTGTCTCTCTCTCTCACTGTCCACTCTGCCTGTCAAAAAAATAAAAAAAAAATTTTAAAAAAAGATTTATTTATTTGAAAGTCAGAGTTACACACAGAGGAGAGGCAGACAGAGAGGTCCTCCACCTGCTGGTTCATTTCCCAGTTGGCTGCAACAGCCAAAGCTATGCTGATCTGAAGCCAGGAACCAGGAGCTTCTTCCAGATCTCCCACGAGGGTGCAGGGACCCAAGGACTTGGACCGTCTTCCACTGCTCTCCCAGGCCATAGCAGAGAGCTGGATCGGAAATGGAGTAGCCAGGACTTGAGCCGGTGCCCATATGTGATGCAAGCATTGCAGGCGGCGGCTTTACCCACTATGCCACAGCGCTGGCCCCTAGTTTGCCTTAAATTTTTATTATTTTATTCTTTGTCTCTCATGGTGTACCTGGGTTTGATTCCTGGCTCTGGCTCCTGACTCCAGCTTCCTGCTAATGCAGACCCTTGAGAGGCAGCTCAAGTACTTGGGCCTTTGCCACCTTCATGGAAGACCTGGATCAAGTTTTAACTCCTGGATTTTGCCTGGCCCAGTTCTGGCTGATGTTGACATTTGGAGAATGAACCAGTAGACAGGAGCTTTCTCTCTCGGTGTTAGCAAGTATGTCTCTCAAATAAATAAATAAATATAAGTTTTTTAATTAAAAAATAAGTAATGGGGCTAGTGCTAGGGCTGTTGCTTGTGTTGCTGGCCTCCCATATTGAGTACTGGTTCAAGTCCCAGCTGTACCACTTCTGAGACAGCTTCCTGCTAATGTGCCTGAGAGGACAGTGAAAGATGGCCCAAGTGCTTAGGACCCTGTCCCCCATGTGGGAGACAGAAAGGAGTTCCTGGCTCCAGGCTTCAGCCTTGTCTAATCTTGGCTATTGTGGCCAGTTGAGGAGTGGACCAGCTGATGGAAGATCTATCTCTCTGTCTCTCTTTCCTTCTTCTCCCTCTCCTCCCCACATTCCCCCACCCACGGTCACCCTGTCTTTAAAATAAATATTTTTTTAAAGATTGATTTATTTTGGAAGAGTGACAAAGAGAGAGAGACAGAGAGAAGTCTTCCATCTGCTGATTCACTCCTCACATGGCCACAACAGGCCAAGCAAAGCCAGAAGCTTCATCCAGGTCTCCCTTGTGGGTGGCAGGGGCCCAAACACTTGGGCCATCTTCCACCACTTTTCCCAGGCCATTAGCAGGGAACTGGATTGGAAGTGGAGAGTAACCAGAACACAAATTGCTCCCATATGGGATGCTGGCATTGCACGCATCAGTTTTAGCCCCTATGCAACAACACTGACCTCATAAGTCTTTGTTGTTAAGATATGTTTATATATTTAGCCGGCGCCGTGGCTCAATAGGCTAATCCTCCACCTTACGGCGCCGGCACACCGGGTTCTAGTCCCGGTCGGGGCGCCGGATTCTGTCCCGGTTGCCCCTCTTCCAGGCCAGCTCTCTGCTATGGCCAGGGAGTGCAGTGGAGGATGGCCCAGGTGCTTGGGCCCTGCACCCCATGGGAGACCAGGAAAAGCACCTGGATCCTGGCTCCTGCCATCGGATCAGCACGGTGCGCCGGCTGCAGCGGCGGCCATTGGAGGGTGAACCAACGGCAAAGGAAGACCTTTCTCTCTCTGTCTCTCTCTCTCACTGTCCACTCTGCCTATCAAAAAATTAAAAAAAAAAAAAGATATGTTTATATATTTGAAAGGCAGAGAGAGAGAGAGAGAGAGAGAGAGAGAGAGAGAGAGATCTTCAGTCCTCTGGTTCACTCCCAAAATGTCCACAATGGCTGAGTCTGGGGCAAGCCAAAGCCAGGAGCCTGGAACTCCATCCGGGTCTTCCACATGAGTGGCAGGGGCCCAGTGCCTGGTCCACCTTCTGCTGCTTTTCCAGGCACATGAGGGGCCAGCATTTTGGTACAGTGGGTTAAACCACTGCCTGCAGCATCAGCATCCCAAATGGACGCTGATTCGAGTACCAGCTACTCCACCTCCGATCCAGCTCCCTCCTAATGGACCTGGGAAAGTAGCAGAAGGTGTCGCAAGTATGGAGCCCCTGCCACCCACATGGGAGACCCAATTGGAATTCCAGCTGCTGGCTCAGCCTGGCCCAGCTCCAGCTGTTGGGGCCATTTGGAGTGTGAACCAGCAGATGGAAGATCTCTCTCTGTAACTCTACCTTTCAAATAAAATAAATATTAAAAAAAAAAAAAAGTGAAGTGACCAAGCTAGTTCAACTCTGATCCTTAAGTAATTTTAAGCTCAGCTCTCAAACAGCTATGCAGTAGCCAAGTCTCAGTGAGTCTCTCAGTTATAGCCCCTGTACGAGAAGAAATGTGACTCAGTTGTTAGTGAGACAGACTTCGCCATCTTGATAGAAGGCAGCTGCCAGTTCTGTGTCCTGTCAGTCCAGATGCTTCCTTTGAAAGGATTGACTGCTTGTCTTTTGCTCGGCGTTGCCCTTACCTTCAATTCACACTTTTTCCAAATAACAACCAAACCACAATCCTGAAAGACATCTCTGCCTTTGCTTCTTTGGTGGTTCCTTCTTCTTGCCAACTTGAATCCTTCTTCCTATTTCCCCTTCCCTATGCAGTTTTTCCTATTCTTTAGGGCCTATCTGAAGTCCCAACTCTTCGGGAAATTTTCCCTTGACTTTGGCCTTGTTCAGTTTGGCATTCAGTTGTATTCTACACATTCTACATTACACAGTTGGAATCTCACATTTATGCCTTTGTGTGGATGGAGTCCTTGAGGGCAAGGATCATCCCTCTTACCGCTCCAGTACCACATGCAGCTTATCCCTCCCCGCCTTGCCAGCATGAGTGCTCAAGTGAGGATTGACCTGAGTCTGTTGTCATTGTTATGGTCATTTCTGCCTCATCTCAGTCAAGATGTTGACTTCAGTAACCAACACAAAACTCATTTTAGGAGGCCCCAGATAGTTCTGAGATTGTCTAGGAAAGATCTTTTTTCACTTTGTGAAACCAGAAGCATCTCTTTCCACTTTGCCAATATTTTTCCTTGTCTTCAACAGGTTGCACATTAAATGGCCAAGAGGTAAGATTCACTGTCCACTATGAAAATGGGTTCACTATCTCCAGGGAAGATGCAGGCGCCAGCAGCATACTATACCGCTACCCCTTTGAGAGGCTGAAAATGTCTGCTGATGACGGCATCAGGAATCTGTATCTGGATTTCGGTGGCCCTGAGGGAGAACTGGTGAGTGTTTCTGAAAGACACGTTTGTACTAACAGACATTCTCTTCTCATTTCTTCTTATGTCTTACATAGAACATCATGATCCAGCATTTCTTCTGGATCCAGGAAATTCTTTTCGAGATGTCATTGAGTGTAGGTGTTTTGTTTAAAAAAAAAAAAAAAAGTTTTGTTTTATTGTTAGGAAGAAAAAACAGCCCCTCAAGAAACAGGTTTTTATTTTAAAAGTAAGATGTAAAATAAGAAAGCTGGCAAACTGTAATAGATTCTTTCCATTGCTCTTATCAGCAGTTCGCTGGGCTGAGGGTTAAGAGTGATTGAGTGACTTGTCTGCTACAGAAGTCTGCCGATTAAGAGAAAGGAAACATCCACACAGCTATCAGCTTTTTTTTGACTCCCTTGTCCTTTAAAGGAAATATCAACAGAAAGTCACGATTCCTCCCAGAGGGACTAAAGCAATATATCAAGTATACTACAGAAATCATAAATTACGAAAAAAGAGAAGAAATACCTTACCTTTGTTACCAGTTTTGTCAGTATCTCCAGTCTTACCATACATGAAATCTTATGTCCACTGACAAAACCACTGGAGATGGGAACTTGACAACAGTAATGTAATTGAATCTCCAAATGAGAAAGCTATGGCTGACCATCTTACTATAGACAAGAGAGGTGGAGACACAGAGAAGTCTTCCATCCTCTGGTTCACTCCCCACATGGCCTCAATGGCCAGAGCTGGGGCTATCAAAAGCCAGGAGCCAGGAGCTTCTTCTGGGTCTCCCGTGTGAGTACAGGGGCCCAAGCAGTTAGGCCGTCTTCCACTGCTTTCCCAGGCCATAAGCAGAGAGCTGGATTGGAAGAGGAGCAGCCAAGACACAAACCAGCACCCATATAGGATGCCAGCACTGCAGACAGTGCTTAACCACCGCACCGGCCCCTAAAAATCTGACTGTGAATGCTGAACCTTTAGGAGACTAAGGACAGACCATAGTGCAGGGCTTTTCAGCAGCCTGAGACATTAGTGAGAGGTAAATCCTTCTCTCTATTAAATTAGCCAGTTAGTACTATCGGTTGCCATTTAGCAAGCAAGGTGTTAGGTTATTTCTATTTGTGCATTTTAACCCTGCTGTATATTTAATATATACAGTTTAGCAATAACTAGTGCTCTGTCACTTATGTTTCTAATTAATGTTTTCCTTTAAAAGGCATAATTTTAGCCTTTTCCTGGTTTCTGTTATCAGTGCCAAGGGTGCATACAGCCTGACTCTAGCTCTCCCTGCTCGTGAGAGTGGCAGCTGTCAAGTTGGAGACCTGTGTTTAGGAAGGCATAGCTGTTCCTCCTAACAAGCCCCACCGACCATCATGCCCACCACAGATCTATCAAGAGGTTTCAGAAACCACGCCCACAGATGATCATGCTTCAGCTGCCTTCCCCAGGGAAATATAATTACAGATACCATTAGTGGTCTCCACGTACAGTGTTCTTTGTTTCACATCTTCTGGTTCACTCCCCAAATGGCTCCAACAGCTAGGGCTGGGCCAGGCTGAATTGAAGAGCCCAGAACGCCGTCCATATCTCCCACGTGGGTGGCAGGGGTGCAGTTACTTAGACCATCTTCCACTGCTCTCCCAGGTGCACCAGCAGGGAGCTGGATCAGAAGTGGAGCAGCTAGGACTCGAACCAGTGCTCCGATATGGGATGCCAATATCACAGACAGTGGCCTAACCCGCTCACCAGAATGTTGGCCCTGGCACAGTCTTTTTGAAAGTTAGAACATCCATCTAAACTTGTTTATTTCAGATCTTTGCTTATTAAATTGTCTGTATAGGAGAGTGATAATTAATGTCCTTTCTTCACAGACCATGGACCTGCACTCCTGTCCAAAGCCGATTGTATTCGTGTTGCATACCTTCTTGTCGGCCAAAGTCACCCGCATGGGACTGCTTGTATGAGCAGCAAAAAAATCAGAAAAGAGCCTTGACTGTCAAAAGAAGTATTCTCACCTCAAAAAAGAAAAAAAAAAAGCACAAAAAGAAAGCTCTTTGCTCTCCCCTCCAGCACAGTGCCTTCCCATGGACCTGCAAATCGCTGCTGAACCATACTTCTCACAACCTACCTTGGCCAGGTGACCCTGATGAGCTCCAGAACGAAGCTGTTGGTCCACTGTCTTGCGGCTGCTGTGTGATTAGGCTTGTTGCTCCTGTTGAAAAGAGTGGCTGTTGTTTTTCTTGTCAGGCACCATCAAGTAGCCAAGAGCTGTTTCCTTTTTCTGCTTCCTATAGGACCTCTTGTGGGCTTAGCCGTGAGCTCTTGGTGAGGACAAACTCTCCCTTCCTAGGTGCTAGTGCGCAGCGGCCCGTTGCCTCTCGGTCATTCCAGATAGGCCACAGGGTTCGCGGGAGTTCACTCTCCTCACCTGCTCCCTCCACCAAGGACGTCCTTGAGTCGCTTCCCCAAAGGGGTCTTCATCTGTCCTGGCTCTCACTTCATCCCACCCTGGCCATCACTTCCCACCTCCTCACCAGCTTTGCTGCTCGCACGTGCTAACATTAGGACTTACATTTTGCAAAATTTGATTTGCCTTGCCTTCCACTCCTTTCTAGTGGTGACCAAGTTGAAAAGCAAGTTGGAAACTACTGCTTTAGAAGAAAAGTTTAGCTTGATTTAGGTTTTTCTGATTTTATCTTTGGTAGGAGCCAGGGTATCTTCCACGATTTATTTTAAAGAAATCCTCATTTTCGGCTAAGCCATTTCTTATTGCTGACCACATGTGCCTTTGGGTAGGGTGAGTGGAGCTTTATTAGTTACTCTTTCAGTAACTGGGTATCACTGCCATTCCAGGGAGACCCTCCCTTCTAGGTTGGAGAAACAGTCTTCGGGGTGGCATTCCTTACTGGTGGGGAAGAGCCAGCTTGCTTGAAGAGCAGGCGTGGTGGGTGAAGCCAAATCCCAGCGCGGGGCATCACGGCGAGATGTTCTGAGCCCAGGCGGCACCCTGGCCCTGGCCCTGCCTGCGGCAGCAGAGTGGCGCAGACAGAAGGCTGCTGACTCAAGACCCCCTGTTGGCTTCTCTCTGGATGATCCACCTGCACTTTGCGAAGCTGTACCAGATGCGACTGTTAGGGGGCAGCAGCAATACAATTGCTGATTCTGTGGTATTGGACAATCACATGAGGCTAGTTTTCCTAATTTTGAAGACGGTATGTATCTGAAGAAATTTAAAATAGTGTAGTATCTGTATAAAATTTCAAGATTAGCACAAGTCCCTAGATCTGAAAGGAAAGATACTTTTGACTTGAATGCTCTCTCTGCCCTCTGAAGAAAGCTCTAGGAATTATTGCTGTTTACTTGATCTATCAGGGATGTCATAAGATGATGTGAGTACTGTTAGGGAGCAGATGTGAGTGGCACCCCAGTTGGGGTGGGGGCTGAGAAGATGTAGCTGTGTACACTAAACCTGAGCTGTTTGGGTTGTGTGCAGACTGACAGGTGGGACGTGGGAGAGAGCAGACTCAGGAGCAGAGAGTTCTCTATCCGATGTCGGGGAGAGATGTGTGTTCTTCCCCGAGCTTCAGATAATTGTTAAAGCTCCAATGATGAATTATCTAGTTCACTTCAAAACTAGACGTTAAAATCTAGACAAAAATTTGCCTTTTAAGAACTTTTTTGATTTGAAAATTCATAAACCTAAGATGGGTTCCATATGAGACAATTTGCAATTAAAGGAAGGAGAAAATGTCTCGAAGGTCCAGCTATGATATCTGGAAGCAGAATTTCAACAAATGATGCTGTCAGATAAGCCAGCTTGGACACTCCTTGCAGTGAGAGTATCGTTAATAAGAGGAGTCGGACAGTCCGTCCAGACTTCGGCAGCAGAGCCACTTGGCTGAGGCTTTCTGTGCTCAGGAGAAAGGCTAACGCACTGGGACTTGCAGGGGAATCCTGAGCCGCCGCTCACTGGTGAGGTGGAGTCTGGAAGCCAGGTGTGGTTAAGCGCTGGGCCGGAGGGGCAGGGCGTATATGCTTCAGCTCGTTTTGCTGAGGTCCAGAGGTTTGTAATAACCTTTTGAGTCCTGGGAAATGGAAGTGTATGGGAGGTCTCTGTCCACTAGCAGCCCCAAGAGCAAGAGCCCAGCAGCTGCTTGCCTGCATCTGTGAACTGCTCTCCAGTCGAGGTGGCCAAGATTGTTCTTCAACTAGGTGTGGGGGGGGGGGGGATTTTCAAGCCACAGACGAAGTGCTTTTTAGGAATGGGACACCTTGATAAATGTGTATTTTGTATTTCCCTGCCACAACATGGCATATTATTTTCAATATAATTTTCAAACGACAAGTAAAAATGATCATTTTTATATTTCACCTCTTTTATAGAAGCAGGTAACTTTTCATTTCTTTTTCATCTTGATTTAGGAGAATTGTCAGGGCCTTTCGGGCTCCTGTGTGTCCAGTGGAGAGGAGGCTGCAGAGTGTGACGCCTGCAGGCAGACCACCTGCTGCCCCTCCCTCCAGACCAGGTGCTCGGCTGCTTCTCATACCACACAGGCGACACCAACTGGTGTCTGAAAGGCTTCCTCCTCTTTCCTGGCCATTCTCTCCCCATAAAAAAAGAAAAGAAAAGGCACAAAGTTTTCTTTCTCTGCAAAAGACAGATCCGTTCCTGAAGTCATCAAACAAACCTTGTCTGAAATTGACACAAGTTGAGAATCCCTTACCTGAATGCTTAGAACCAGAAGTGTTCCAGATCCTGGGAGTGTTCCAGATTGTGGAGTACTCATATAGACTTCTCCAGCTGGGTGTTCCTAATTCAAAATCCAGCATGCTGATACAAATGTTGGATTCCAGAGCATTTCAGATTAGAGGTGCCCAGTCTAAACCTGTTCTCTTATAGGAAGCAGTTCTTCAGTGGGTGTCTACACAGTGCTTATTGGGTAGTTGTGACTGTAAACTCGCCTGCGTAGTAGACAGAGTTTCAGGTTAAATATTGAGACATGCACAGGCAATCAGAAATGTTACTTTAAATGTCACCCACCTCTTTGAAAGCCCTGTTTTAGCACTTTTTTAGGCTGGGGAAAGTCTGATAGGGCCTGCGTTCCGCATCTGTACTCTCACTACAAATTCCCTCACTAAAAAATATTGCATGGCAGGGGAGATTTAAGTATTTATTTCTTTTTTTACCCATAGAAAATCGTTCAACCCATAAATGGCTAACATTGTTACTTAACAATGTTTTCTTAACTTCTCCTAAGCAGAATGGTAACACAGCTTTCTTCAGTTGATTAAATGCACTTAGCTGATAAACCAAAATTTATTCTTAAAAAAAAAAAATTACGCCGTGTGGAATCCGGACAAGATTATGTTTCTCCCGGAAACAGGTTTCACTATAAATGGTTTAATGGACAAGAGGTATAAGGTAAAGGTTGCATTTTTAAAAATTCTTTGAGAAACTCTAGGTCCTCTTGTTTAATTTATATGCATGTGGGCATATTTGTTTTCAAAACCACGGAAAAGTCTGTCCGTATTTTTAATGCAAATTACTTTGTAAGCTGCTATGCAAATTCTCTTCCCTGCCTAGTTTAAGAGTTAAACGTTGCTGAAACTTTCAGGGAAGACCTGTAGACTCAAGCACTTTGCTCTTTTGTATTCTTATCTTGGACACTTGCTTTGGATTACGCTTCTATTATTTTCACTGGTTATAAGCTATTGATTGTACATAGTATCTCAGCTCTCCAAATACCCAGCATTTCCACGTGGCCACTGTCCACAGCTGGTGCGTGAATGGAATGGCTGGTAGGAAAGCCAAAGCTCTTCTCAGTCCCTAATGAAGAAATCAAATGCCAGGTCTCGCTGGTCTCAAAGCAGATGGCTGTGGCCAGATCTGAATGTCTATGTAATGAAGAGAGACTTACTTACATTTGGGACTTTATCTGAACTTTAAGTTTAATTAGGCTATGGTCATATTCATTCTTTTTATGCACCTTTATCAGGTATGACATTTTATGCCAGGTAGTATTAGTTACTCTACTTTGAATTTAGAAATCTCTCTCAGTTAGATCTCAGTTGTGGCTTTTCTTTTTCGTGTTGAAGGTGAAAGTAGAGGAATCTGCCATCTCCCGTGTGCTGTCTCTGTGCCCTTATTTTGACTGCTTGGTGGTAGAGTTTTGTTTCTTTTGTTTGTTTGTTTGTTTTGTTTTTACTTTAGAAACCAATAGCAGCAGTCGCCCTCCTTCCTCAGCTCTGTCTTGTGCTGTGTCGGGTGCATTGACACTCCATGGATGTGTGATGACAGACACCCCCTAAGATCATTATGCTGTGTATCGGGATCATGTATTTTTGAGCAGCATAGTTATTCCTGTGCTATAATGACATCAAGTTGAGTTTATTTTACACGAGGAGTAGACTGCCTAAGTGACTAGCTGAAACCCTTTTTCTGAAAACCAGAAACATCTGGCAGATTGATGACACCAGTTCATTCTGCTGTTAAAGGACAGAATTTCAAGTTAGGGAGAAGGTGCAATACATAGGCACGTAGTGCATCTGTTTTCCTGTCTTGTTTTTGACACTAGCTAAACTGCCACCTAGAAGAATGGTTACGTACCACAAAAGAACATTTCCACAAGATTACTTCTTTTGCTTCAAGACATAACATTTGAGCTCAATTTCTTACCACCTGTATTCTTCCTTTCCAGTTGAACTGGTGACTGAACCAAAGCACATTCCAGTTTTGTAAGTGAATCCACATACAATGTAAGGCATAACTCTGCCCTTTACAAAGCATTACTTGCTCTCCAGTACACATTTGATTACATTCAACAAAAATCTACCATATGAATTGTAACCCTTGGCTTGTCCTTTTAAAATAAGATTGGTTAAAACCAAAAACCGTCAATAGAGGAATGATACTTCATTGTAGTGTGAGATTGGGAGTCTTGGTTGGGTCTCTGATTTCTGAATACTGGAACGTCTTGTCTAGTTCCACAGTCTTTTTCCCTCCTGTGCTTGACTCGGCATATTCTAGTTTTCTAGTCCTCCTTCATCCCAGTCACTGTACACCCAGGAGCCTGATGACTCACTCCTTCTACACAGGGTCCTCTTTGAGGGCTTGGAGACATTAAAACTGCACAGCCAATTAATACCATTAATAATATACATCTTTCATCTAATAAGCACTTACTGAACAATATATCCTGAAGGGTCGAAAAGAAGGTTCCCGCCTCCAGGTAGCACAGGACCCATTATTTCCCAACCACACCATGCATGGTACGTCCATTCAGTGGGGACATACTTAATCACTGGGTATTTTTACCCGAGTGTATCTACAGTTCTTCTCTGGATCTGGAAAACTAGAAAATGTTTCAAGAGATCCTCAGGCTTTGATCCATGCCAACAGGAAGCCATTCCAACCACATGGACGTAGATTGGTCCTTTTCATTATACAGGATGTTTTTTTTCTTTAAGTGCAAAAGTAAATTCAGTTTGGAAAAGAAAAGAGTATCCTTAGTAAAATAAATCACAACAATAAAAAGTAGGCTCTATTGTCCAAAGTGGATCAATGAGAAAGTCTTTTTTAAACTAAAACAGCAAAACTAAATATGTTTCATCACACTCCCCCCGCCCCCATTTCTCCATTTTGCCAACTCATTTCCCCACTTACATGTAAGCATCTCATTTGTTCAGGTGGAGACTTTCTCCATTATCGAAAGATCAAAATGAAGATATTTAAAACTTAACAAAATTCTTTTGTTCTAGAACACTGGCACTCAAACTCAGTGAAAATGGCACCTGAAGAAAATGAGGGCACGATTTCATTTTCTGTAATTTTCACACAGCGCCAGCCCCTTTCTGCCCAGCTTGTCCTCCATTCATCGCAAGGGTCAGGTTCTCAGGCAACATCCTGAGTCATGCCCGGAGCCGCCTGAGCCGCCTGAGCCGCCTGTGACTGGGACGGCGTGAGGAAGGAAGGTCACGCCGTCACACGGGCTCCTTTCCCTTTGTCTTCAAGCTTCCTGGTGTTGGGCACAAACACTAGGCCATGCCTCAGGGTCTTGGTCGTGGTCTGGTCTTTACACCTACCCTTTGACAACCAGGTGCTAATGATTGTGTATTAATGAAACCAGCCCTTAACGTAGTGTCACGTGAGTGTCTCTGCTGTGGTTGCAAGGAGCCTTTCCTTCCATTTTGGTCATGTCCAAGTGGGTGTCAGTTACTTCTCCTCCCCTGTGCTTTGTGAATTAATAGAACGAGTTTCAGGTTTGCACGGTCCTCAGCGCAAATCTGCTGTATCGTAGGAGCCGGTTTCAGACCTCTTCCTCCAGCGCAGGGCCCTGTTCTGTGTTTACAGTCTGTCAGACGAGTTCAGTGTTACAGGTCCTTGGTGCCCAAAGAACTTGTTTCCTGTTTGGTACCAGACCCAAGGTCTCTGAGAAGACAGTGTGGGAAACCACTACCTAAGAGGCCCACGTTGGCTTACCTGTGCACACCCTGGTAATACCCACCTGTATGTGTTCTTTCCCACTCTGCTTTCATATGTGTGATGTATGAGGACTTAGAAAGCTGGAATAATACTCCTGCAAATAATTAAAGTTTCGAACCTGGTTTTTTTCTTTCTTTTCTTTAAAGAATCTTGATTTTAAACAAGACTTCTCTTTAAATCTTATTTAAAATTTAAGTCTCAGATCTGTCTTCTGGCTACCAAATCAAAAACCCATGGCATAAAACAGGGCAGTATTTCTGTTCTTAATTTTTTAAAAAAGCTTTATGTATACTCTATAAATATAGACGCATAGACAACACTTCCCCTTGAGTTGCACATCCACATATAGCATTGTACATTACAATGAAACTTTGTAACTTAAGGGTACTATATATATAAATGCACATATACCTTTGTAACCTTTATACTGTAAATAAAAAATTGCTTTTAGACTTGTATTTTTTGTTGTTTTCTTTCTAATGTTGAAATAGTTTCAAATCTACAGCAAATTTTCAAACAATACAAAGAACTCCTTTATCTCCACGCAAATTTCCCAGTGTGTTAGCATTTTACTACATTTGGGCCATTACCCTGTCTTGTCTTTTTTTTTTTTAATTAAAGATTTATTTATTTATTTTGAAAGTCGGAGTAAGAGATCAGATCCACTGTTTCACTCCCCAGATGCCCACAACAGCCAGCCCTGGGCCAGGCCACAGCAAGGAGCTTCATCCTTTTGTCCACATGGGTGCAGGGGCCCAAGCACGAGGAGCAGCCAGGACACGAATGTGTCCATGTGCCCATGTGGGATGCCGGCATCGCAGGCAGAGGCTTAACCCGCTACACCACACGCTAGCCCCTGTCTTTTTTTTTTTTTTTTTTTTTTTTGACAAGATACTCCTAGCATCCATAAATTCTCTAGTGCATACCTACAAAACACAGGAGCACCCCTGTGTTGCCTCCCCAGTCCTCTCAGCCAGAAAAATCAACACAGGTCCCACGCTACCATCCCCTCCATAGACCCCCATAGACTGGCGTTTGCTGCCAGTCACCCACAGTTGTCTCCCTTTCCGTTCTGGCCCCGGATTCTGTGCAGCACCAGGTGGCGCTTTGGTTGTCACGTCTCTTCAGTCTGGAGCAGTTCCCCGTCCTCGGGCTGTCGCTCACATGCCTGAGAGTCCCAGGAACCCAGGTGTCTTTCCACAGGATAACCCTCCACGGGGCCCATCCCGTGCCGCCGCGGGACCTGCCCGAGTCCCATCTTGTCCCATCTTGTCGGTAGCAATGCCACAGAAGTGAGCCACGCTCTTCCCAGAGCATCAGCAGGCGCGCGGTGTCGGCCCGGTGCACCATGGTGATGTTAACCTCGATCAGCTCGTCAAGTCAGTGCCTGCCATTTTCCCTTTAGGCTTTGACTAGCGTTTGTGGGGAGATACTCAGTTAAGCCATTGTTCTGTTTTTCATCAAACTACCTCCACCAGCATTATTGTCCAGTAATAACTCGCCTGTATGATCTCCCACGACAGTGGTTGCCAAAGGTGATCAGTATTCCTTCGGCACTGATTAGCTGACATTGTACAACATAGGCAATAGCTTCCCCTTCTCCACTGTTGGGTGTGACTGACTGATTGAGGCTCCTGGATCCCTGTTTTTGTTTGTTTTAAGACATTTATTTGAGGCCGGCGCCGCGGCTCACTAGGCTAATCCTCCACCTGCAGCACCGGCACACCGGGTTCTAGTCCCGGTCGGGGAGCCGGACTCTGTCCCGGTTTCCCCTCTTCCAGGCCAGCTCTCTGCTGTGGCCAGGGAGTGCAGTGGAGGATGGCCCAAGTGCTTGGGCCCTGCACCCCATGGGAGACCAGGATAAGTTCCTGGCTCCTGCCATGGGATCAGCGCAGTGCGCCGGCCGCAGCGGCCATTGGAGGGTGAACCAACGGCAAAGGAAGACCTTTCTCTCTCTCTCTCTCTCTCACTGTCCACTCTGCCTGTCAAAAAAAAAAAAAATTATTTGAAAGATAGAGGCAGAGAGAGAGAGGTCTTCCATCCACTGGTTCACAGATGGCCACAGTGGCTGGAGCTGCGCCGATGCGGAGCCAGGAGCCAGGAGCTTCTTCCAAGATCCTACTTTTTTATTAAAAGTTTTAACCGAATGCTTATTTTGATGTCCAGATTGTTCAGTGGGAACCCCTCTGAACCAGTCACTGTGTCCTTTTGCTGTGTCCCCAGCATTCTTGAGATTTTGGGTTTTTTTTTTCTGGCACAGTAAAGGCTCCTTTGTACTTCCTGCCCCGGCCCCGGAGCAGTGATTGCCACCAAGCTCTGAGAATCTGTAGTGCAGAATGAAGTCTGGGTGCTGAGTGTGCTCGTTACCACGTGCATCCATTTGTATTTCTGTATCGTGTATTTGAAAGCTGTGGGTTCATACGGATGCTTCTAATACATGAAGGCCCTTTCAAACTCCCCCTTTCTGTGTTTGTAAATCCCTCATCAAATAGTGAGTGACTTTTTTTGTCTGTTCTACTTAATATGACTGATTTAATTCTGTAATTAATACACAGTTATTCTTAAGTGTTGAAATTTAACTGAAATGTGATCCCTGTTAAACATAAGAGTAGGAATAAGAGAGGGAAGAGATATATAATTTGGGACATGCTCAAGCTGACTTGCCCCAAATGGTAGAGTTAGAAACATACCAGGGGACTCCAATTTAATCCCATCAAGGTGGCATGTACCAATGCCATCTCACTAGTCCAAGTGATCAATTTCAGTTCGCAATTGATCATAATGAAAGGACTAAGAGTCAAAGGGAGCACATAAGCAAGTCTAGTACCTGCTAACACTAACCGATAGAATAAATAAAGGGGAGAGTGATCCAACATGGGAAGTGAGATACTCAGCAGACTCATAGAATGGCAGATGCCCTAAATAGCACTCTGGCCTCAGAATCAGCCCTAAAGGCATTCGGAGCTGGCTGAAAAGCCCATGAGAGTATTTCAGGCATGGAAAGCCAAGACACTCTGGCAAAAGATCTCTGTGAGTGAGATCTCAGTGGAAAGAACAGGTCTTCAAAGAAGGAGGTACCTTTCTCTGAAGGGAGGAGAGAACCTCCACTTTGACTATGACCTTGTCTAAACAAGATAAGAGTCGGAGAACTCAAGGGGCTTCCATAGCCTTGGAAACTCATGACTGGAGCATAGGGAGATTACTGATGCCATAGACAGGAGTGTCAATTGGTAAAATCAACAACAGGAGTCACTGTGCACTTACTCCTCATGTAGGATCTCTGTCCTTAATGTGCTGTGCATTGAGATCATCATCATTAAAAAAAATCATCTATTATTTTTCACTTTATGTTTCTGTGTGGGAGCAAACTGTTGAAATCCTTACTTAATGTATACTAAGCTGATCTTCTGTATATTAAGATAATCGAAAATGAATCTTGATGTGAATGGAAGGGGAGAGGGAGTGGGAAAGGGGAGGGTTGTGGGTGGGAGGGACGGTATGGGGGGGAAGCCATAGTAATCCATTATTCGTACTTTGGAAACGTATATTCATTAAATAAAAGTTAAAAAAAAAAAATAGTGAGTGACCCCACTCCCTTATTCTCAATACGCTGCCTTACTTGCTCATGTAACACCCAAACCAGTGACCCCCCAGCTCCCTCGCACTCCACCCCCGCCCCCACCACGTGTGCGCTCCTGCCGCCCCTGTATGGCACCCCTTCCCTCACACCTCTGCCTCAGACACTGACGTCACTGCAGTGGGCGGGAAGGAGAGGACTAAGGGAGGAAGGGAGCTGGGAGGGGGAGCCGCCTGCGTGTTTCTTACCCCTGGGTTTTTCTCATCAGAGACACTTGTGGGCGAGAGGATCGCCTGCCTCTTGTGCCATTTTGAAGCAGAGTCAGAACTACCCCACTCTTAAAAACTTGCTTGGGGGGCGGCATTGTGGCATAGCAGGTGACGCCGCCATTTGCAATGCCGGCATCCCATAGGGGTGCCAGTTCCTGTCTCGGCTGCTCCACCTCCAATCCTGCTCCCTGCTCGTGGCCTGAGAAAAGCAGCAGAAGGTGGGCCCAAGTGCTCGGGCCTCTACTGCCTACGTAGGAGACCTGGAAGAGGCTCCTGGCTTCTGACTTCAGCCTGGCCCAGCGCTGGCCTTTGTGGCCATTTGGGGAGTGAACCGGTAGATGGAAGATGTCTCTCTCTCTCTCTCTCTCTCTCTCTCTCTGTCTCTTCCTCTCTGTAATTCTGACTTTCAAATAAGTAAATAAATATTCTTAAAAAAAAAGATTGGGGTGTCAGTATGGCTGGTGTCTTCTGAGGTCTTTCTCCTGGACTTGTAGATGGCCGTCCCCTCGCTGTGTCCTCACCTGGTCTTTCCCGTGTGCATGCGCCCCTGGTATCTATGGGACAGAGAGACTAGAGTAAGGTCTGCTCCAAAAGGTCTCATTTTTAAGTAATCCCATCTTTTTTGACAGGCAGAGTGGACAGTGAGAGAGAGAGACAGAGAGAAAGGTCTTCCTTTGCCGTTGGTTCACCCTCCAATGGCTGCCGTGGCCGGCGCGATGCAGTCGGTGCATCGCACTGATCCGAAGGCAGGAGCCAGGTGCTTTTCCTGGTCTCCCATGGGGTGCAGGGCCCAAGCACCTGGGCCATCCTCCACTGCCCTCCCGGGCCACAGCAGAGAGCTGGCCTGGAAGAGGGGCAACCGGGACAGAATCCGGCGCCCCGACCGGGACTAGAACCCGGTGTGCCGGCGCCACAGGCAGAGGATTAGCCTAGTGAGCCACGGCAACGGCCGGGGTTCTGGGTTTCAACATGGGAATTTCCTCTCCATGACAAGGGCTGGGTTTGAGATTTACTGGCTGTGTTGTCTTTTCTTTGTTCTGCCCACCCAGCCATCTCTGACTTCCAGGTTTCCCACGTGTGTGCGGAGGGGCCCGAGCACTTGAGCCATCTTCTGCTGCTTTTCCCAGTCACATTAACAGGGAGCTGGATCGGAAGTGGAGCAGCTGGATGCAAACTGGCATCTGTACGGGATGCTGGCACTGCAGACAGTGGTTAACCTGGTGCCCCACAGCACAGGCCCCCACACTCCAATCTTGAAGTATTAGCTCCCAGAACCGAGAGAAAAGAAATTTCTGCTGTTTGAGCCACTTGGTCTGTGGTATTTTGTCATGGTAGCCTGAGCAAGCCCACACAGCCACCTCTCATGATAGGATGTGTGTGTGTGTGTGTGTGTGAAGATCTATGTATTTATTTATTTTGACAGGCAGAGTTAGAGAGACAGAGAGAAAGGTCTTCCTTCCTTTGGTTCACCCCCAAAGTGACTGCTACGGCTGGCACACTGCGCTGATCCGAAGCCAGGAGCCAGGTGTTTCCTCCTGGTCTCCCATGGGGTGCAGGGCCCAAGCACTTGGGCCATCCTCCACTGCCTTCCCGGGCCACAGCAGAGAGCTGG